GCTACTAGTAACAAGTGCCTTACTAGTAGTAACAAGAAGCTACTAGGTTCAAGTGCATCGCTACTAGTAACAAGTGCCTTACTAGTAGTAACAATAAGCTACTAGTTTGTATTCTTATTTTTCAGAATAGAGCGCAACACCCCGGGTTTTGACTGTATAAAACAACTGCCATCGTTGGTTAAACCTCCCCCTTACATGGGTGGTCTCTCCCTATGTGACAAACGTCTTCTGCTTAGACGAGCATCCTCATCCTGGAGGTCCTTTGTAATGGCATTACGCTGTGGGTGTGAGTTCACTTTAATTGTTCTGCCGATGTGTTCTTTTGATGAATGTTTTATCCTTTGTGCAAGGTCTCTCCTTAATGAAATTGAATGTCCTACACAAGTGCAGACACCGCAAAAGACACCCTCTTTTCCAAAGGCCTATTTGGGTAAAATATGTTTTGTCAAGTCCTCTATCAAGTCCGTCACAATGTAGGTTGGAGGCCATCGCTAGTGGAATTGAGGCCATCGCAATTCAACCACCTTATGTTAGATTGATTGTTTCAGACAAAGTTTGCCTTGTGCAGTTCCTGGACTCTTTTCACTCCTGTTGGACATGTTTGCATCAGGAAATCTCTTCTGTCGGGCTTTCCACATGCAGGGTCATTGAATATATTTTCATCCAACCCTTTCAGGCTGAACAGAGATCGCTAATTTAAGTTCCTTTTTTGCCTTAACCACACGCCAGAAGCCAACTATAGCAACTCAGCACTGCAGCTGCCCCACCCGTCCATCGACAGAGCGGTTAGTCATCTAAGCTAAGCTTCCAAGGTGCAACCGCCTTGAAGCTTTGGAACACACAGAGAAAGAATCTACTAGGAACAAGTGCATCGCTACTAGTAACAAGTGCCTTACTAGTAATAACAAGAAGCTACTAGGAACAAGTGCATCGCTTCTAGTAAAGGAAGAAAGGTGGACCGAGTCTAAAGGACTAGTAGCGATGCCCTTTGCTCATAGTAGCGAACATTGCTCCTAGTAGTAAGGCCAGGAGCCCCTAGTAGCATCCTTGCTCCTAGTAGCGATGCCCTTTGCTCATAGTAGCGAACATTGCTCCTAGTAGTAAGGCCAGGAGCCCCTAGTAGCATCCTTGCTCCTAGTAGCGATGCCCTTTGCTCCTAGTAGCGAACATTGCTCCTAGTAGTAAGGCCAGAAGCCCCTAGTAGCGTCCTTGCTCCTAGTGGCGATGCCCTGTGCTCCTAGTGGCGAACATTGCTCCTAGTAGTAAGGCCAGGAGCCCCTAGTAGCGTCCTTGCTCCTAGTAGCGATGCCCTTTGCTCCTAGTAGCGAACATTGCTCCTAGTAGTAAGGCCAGGAGCCCCTAGTAGCATCCTTGCTCCTAGTAGCGATGCCCTGTGCTCCTAGTAGCGAACATTGCTCCTAGTAGTAAGGCCAGGAGCCCCTAGTAGCATCCTTGCTCCTAGTAGCGATGCCCTGTGCTCCTAGTAGCGAACATTGCTCCTAGTAGTAAGGCCAGAAGCCCCTAGTAGCGTCCTTGCTCGTAGTAGCGATGCCCTTTGCTCCTAGTAGCGAAGATTGCTCCTATTAGTAAGGCCAGGAGCCCCTAGTAGCTTCTTGTTGCTAATAGCAAAAATGCTACGAGTAGCGATGCCAGGAGCTCCTAGTAGCGTCCTTGCTCCTAGTAGCGATGCCCTTTGTTTCTAGTAGCGAACATTGCTCCTATTAGTAAGGCCAGGAGCTATTAGTAGCGTCCTTGCTGCTAAGCTGAAGAAGAATGGACAAGACCAACAGCTTGACTCAGCGGATGGTTTGTGGTTCTTCATTTGTACCTCCCGTCTGGCCACCTTCCTAGATTCAGTGCATCACTCAGGGTGCGCAATCCGTTCTTCCCCATTGCGACACATGATGGTTCTTTCACAGCCTCCTGATCTGGGATGTAAGCGCACCTCTAAGAAGTTCTGCGTTCAATCCACAATTAGAATCACGCGACCACGAGCAACGACTGTATCAACCAGGCACATCACTGGCAGGTACGTTTCAAGTCGTCTCTCAGGAATGTTGCCTCCATTCAGTTTGTTAGGCGATTGCACAGAGCAGGCAGTGTTTTGTTGTTGTTATCTATTAATATATGTTTTTATACGCACTTGTCTTGCTATTGTCGTTTGCAACTGCTAGCTGCGCTTCGCAGGAGAAAGGTTGCGATTTGGTCTTGCCTTTGTGCCATCTCTACGAAAACCAAGATGAGATCACCTGTCGAAACTTTGATTTTCCAGTGATCTTGTCTCTCGACCAAGCAAGGGACGACAGCAATGGCCTCCAACCTAAGAGCGTCATTGCTCCTAGTAGCGATGCCCTTTGCTCCTAGTTAGCGATGCCAGGAGCCCCTAGTAGAGTCCTTGTTTCTAAGAGCAATGGCCTCTAACCTACCAGGGATGGACACCACGCTGAAGGAAAGTAGGAAAAGAAGGGGGGAAGAAGTGAAGATGTAAGGTACCAAGAGCAAGAAAGCTACTACCTACTGGGATGCAGATGAGAACCCTTCGCATGATTGATTTGGTTGTCTTGGTTTTAAGAGAGACTTGGTTCATATCATGATAGGTTTCAATTTGCGATGACCATCCAAGGTCTGGCCACGACCATCATATTGTGGACCGTGTGGTGGATGGAACTCGCATCCTTAAACCCGGATCTGATGCTCATCATGCAGTCATGCTTGACATCATTTGGGATACCCACGACAGCGCTCCCCGAATAGAAGTATCCAGGCGAAACATTGTATTTTTGTTCAAGAGGCAAGGACGCTACTAGGGGCTCCTGGCATCGCTACCAGGAGCAAGGACGCTACCTTGAACAAGTTTACAGCATGGGTCATTCCGGAGGTGTGTTGACCCAAGGTAGAGCTGTTGAAAGTGGCTGACTTCGTGGCGGACGCCACTTTGGTGACTCAACGAGGATAAGCATCCAAAGAGGATGATGCCGAATAAAGCCAAGTGAAAACATGTCTTTAAGAAGGGAAGGGCTACTTTAATACGGGCTCCATTTTTAGAGGGCCTTCATGAAAAGGGCCCCGTATCCATCTTTTACCCTTTGCTCCTAGTAGCGAACATTGCTCCTAGTAGCAAGGCCAGGAGCCCCTGGTAGCGTACTTGTTCCTAGTAGCGATGCCAGGAGCCCCGTTCGTAGCGTCCCTGTAGTTCGATCCATGTTGGATTTCCAAGGCGAAGACTGTCAAGGAGGTCTATTCGACCTTAGACCATCTACGCTACACCCATGTCGTCAAGGCGCTGCCGAAAGATGAGAGGGAGAGAGAAGGGCGTCGCAACTGGTGTTTTTCTTATTTTTTCAGGGGGGTATAGGCCGTGAGGTAGAGGTGAAGTAGGTTAGCTAGAGGTAGGTAGCTGGTAAAAGCTAGGTAGCTAGTAGCTTAAGTAGCTACTACATATGGACGAGGATAGCTCACGCTTCTTCAAGGAAGGGGGGAGCTTCCTTGAAGAAGCGCTCGCACCAATCATTTGGTTCCTAGCTTTTTAGGGAAACTTAATTGGTAGTGATGGCCTCCAACTAGAGAGAGAGAGAGGATAACAGAGAAGGGCGTCGCAAGTGGTTTTTGTACTCCCCAGCTGTCCGGTACTTGTTGATACATACAGCAAGTCATGCGGCCCTTGTAGGACACAAAAAGGGCAGGGCATTCTCATAGGGAAACTGAGGTCAAGTCTGCAGTCTCTTGAAGAGCACAAGCAGAACTAAAGTTAACTAAAGTGACAGAAGAGGCATCGCTATTAGCTTGGAGGCCATCGCTAGTAGCTTGGAGGCCATTGACACTCAGCGTTTTCAATCCGCTGTTAACAGCGGGTGGGTGCAGGTGCCTGCATCTTTCCAGCCTTTGAGCTCCATGAATTCCAGAGGTTGCTGCACATCTGCAGCCCGTTTTATTTGCAGTGAGGTGCGGAGCAATGCGTGGCATGTCCTCAGAACTAGTAGCGTCCTTGCTCCTAGTAGTGATGCCAGGAGCCCCTAATCAGCTCCTTGTTACTAGTTTTCATCCATTTTCCACGTGTCCAACCTTTCCCTCAACCAATTCTTTCATGCTTTGCTACCCTATCGTTCTTCAAACCTCCTTTTTTGCAAACTCTCATTTTTTTTGCAACTAGTAACAAGTGCATCGCTACTAGTAACAGGTGCCTTACTAGTAGTAACAAGAAGCTATTAGGAACAATAAGCTACTAGTAACAAGTGCATCGCTACTAGTAATTCGTGCCCATTCGTGCCTCTCGTTTCTCACTTCGCCTGCCCAGATCCGGTGTGCTCTGAACCTGGAGTGCCTCGAGGTGGGCGACATCAAATGTGCAGGAACATCGAGTCGCCTCTTTCAAACTTCAAAACTGCATAAATTTGTGAAGAATTGATGCGAGTTCAGCTCGTTTCTCCTTGTGTTTCTCGTCGTTTGCGATGAGAAAAACATGTGGTGATTGTTATTCTCACTGCTAAGGGTGTTTCTTCTCACTGCGACTGCGTTCTCATCAATGGCGGCAATTTCCGCGGTGAGCGGCAATATGAGACGAGCCACTTGTCTCTTGAGGACAACTCTCCGTACGCAGAGCTTGGATGCAGTTTTCGTTGTTTCAATGCATCCAAACACAGTGGAAGATGTTTCAGATGTCTAAAGTCTGCAGTAGTAACAAGTGCATCGCTACTAGTAACAAGTGCCTTACTAGTAGTAACAATGTTCTATTTGAAACACTTGTTTCTAATAGCTTCTTGTTACTACTAGTAAGGCACTTGTTTCAGATGTTTCAGATGTCTAAAGTCTGCTCTTCTTCAGCTTGCAAATGTTCTGCACTTGCGGATTCCGACAGGATTTGATGTCGGAGATCGATGAGATCCTAAGTTGCAGTGCTTTCGATTTCATTCTTTCACTAAAATCTGCGAACCACATGAATAGTGCCAGTGCTTCTTCAAGGAAGCTCCCCCCGCCCTCAGGTGGGTGGAGCTTCCTTGAAGAAGCGTGAGCTTTCCTGCCCATGCGCAGTAGCTACTTATTGCTAGTAGCTTCTTGCTCCTTGACTTATCATAGCTACTTATTGGCCTACTTAGCATCCTGCCCCCTAAATTAAAACAATAGCAATGGCCTCTTGCAACCTGCTAGCGATGGCCTCCAACCTACTATTTCTTGCTGTAGTCCACCAACCTGCAGAGAAGCAGACCCTTTGAGTTGCTGAACTTTTTTCGAGTTCACGGAGAGTCCGCGTTTTCTACTCGAAGCCCCTGTTGTTGACTTTGCTCCTTGTTGTTTCTTGTTCCTAGTAGCGATGCCAGGAGCCCCTAGTAGCGTCCTTGCTCCTAGTAGCAATGCCCTTGTTACTGGTAGCAAGAATGCTCCATTTTCAAAGTCTTTGTCTTTCTTCTTTCTTTGAACCTTTCGGTGGCCCTTCTTTTTTACTTCTTGTGTTTCTTTACCCCTTACTCAGCCTTACTCCTTCCAAGAGTGCTCGTAAGCCAGACAATCGACAAGTCTTCTGCAGCTTTGCCTTTGCAACTCAGCTTCTACCCCGCGTCAATCATCACTAGGCTATTTTCTTAAACATGAACAAAGAGCTACTAGGAGCAAGGGCATCGCTACTAGTAACAAAGGGCATTACTAGGAGCAAACAGCTACTAGGAGCAAGAACGCTACTAGTAGCTCCTGGCCTTACTACTAGGAGCAAGAACGCTACTAGAAACTTTTTTTTCAGCTCCAAACAGACACTGCCGTGAGGTCCGTGGAGATCGTGGTCGCCGAGCTGCCTGGATCGTTGTTGAAAGGCGCTCTTCGCGAGACGTGGCGCGGCGTCAGTGGCGCCTGGATGCAACACGATGACCTCGTGGAGGACGGACGGAGTCGAGTCGGCAAAGCGGACTGTGTCGAGTCGGTGGCTGGCACGAACGGAGCAAAGGATGCTAAGCCAAAGAGCTTGAGGAAACAAGGTTCGCTACTAGGAACCAAGTGCATCGCTTCTAGTAACAAAGTGCCTTACTAGTAGTAACAAGAAGCTACGATAATAGACGAAGGACACTGAAAACGAAGGCAAGGGCCCCTTTCATAAATGCCCCTTACCTTCCTTTGTCCTTTCCTTTAGCTCAGCAGTAGCTCCTCTAGGAAGACTTCCATACAGGATGGCTTGATACCGGGCATTCCTTTGGATTGGTTTAGAAGGAATTCCTGACATTTTTCGGATTTCAGCACCTCGATGTGTAGCCCTGATACATGTTTGTGGACTTGTGTCTGTTCCTGCTCCTTGTTCCTAGTAGTAAGGCCAGGAGCCACGTTCGTTTCGTCCTTGCTCCGTTCGTAGCGATGCCCTTTGCTCCTAGTAGCTTCTTGTTACTACTAGTAAGGCACTTGTTACTAGAAGCGATGCACTTGGTTCCTAGTAGCTTCTTGCGCTTAGTAGTGAGGCCGGGAGCCCTTTAGCCGCGTCCTTGCTCCGTTCGTAGCGATGCCCTTGTTACTAGTAGCCTCTTGTTCCTAGTAGCGATGCCAGGAGCTACTAGTAGCGTCCTTGCTCCTAGTAGCTTCCTTAGCCCTTCTTAGCCTACTCCCATCTACTCCTCATTCGGTCTATTGAAAAGGTACTATAGACTTGAGACTGAGCCTCTCAGCGGGGACGCATCCGCATGGTACGAGGACACTGAAAACTTCAAAAAGTTCAAGAGCTGATTTGAGCCGGAGACAAATCGTTTGACTGAAAACTGTGAAGAGCCTAAAAGTGCAGAAACCGCTCCAAAACCATGCCAGTCTCACAGTTGGTGTGATTGATGGCCTTGTCGTGCCACTTGCTTGTTGTCCTGCTTGTTCTTTGTTTTCTCTTGCATGTTATCCTTTTGTTTTGCCTCTTTTTGTTCTTCCTCTGTTTGTTCTTCTTCTGCTCTTCTTTTTTGCTGCTGTTCTACCGCTTGTTCAACACCAGCAGAGCAGCAACAACACGAACACGACCATGGTGACCATACGTAGAACGACACAAAGATTGCTCCGGTGTCGAGCCCACTACACCTGGCCAGCCAGATTTCGAGCAGTTCGTGACATATCTGCATAGCTGAAGGGAAAGGCTCCCTCCGCATGCTGCTTAGAAGGACATTTCAGCAAGAAGACCATGATGTTGTGCAGAGTGGTGTAGCACATCAGTCTAGGGTGAAGTACGTTATTGACTGAAACTGCAACGAGCCATCGAACAGAACCGGAATAAGAGGAAAGCTTTCTCCTGCCTCATGACAGCCCCGACTGCTAGGCGTAAGCCCTTAAATGTTCAATCCTCATGAAATCTCATGCCTGATTTCACCAAACATCCCAGAACCAAGCGGCCATTGCTTCCAGGTTGGAGGCCATCACTAGTAGGTTGGAGGCTAATCATGCGAGGGGTTCAAGGAAGCTCCCCCCACCTTGAAGAACCCTTTTCTTTTCGTTTTTGCATCCCAGTGTTTGGTAGCTTTCTTCCTACCTAATACCATTCCTTCCATTGCGAGCTTATCGCGGCCCGCTATTTCTCGATCAGCCAGCCAGCCAGCCGGCCGGCCGGCCGGCCGGCCAAGAACCACGGTCCAGCTGGCCGGCCGGCCGGCCGGCCAAGATCCACGGTCCAGCCGGCCGGCCGGCTGATCAACGACCGTCGGCTACTACTACTACTACTACTGCTACTACTACTACTACTACTACTGCTACCACTGCTACTACTACTACTGCTACTACTCCTCCTGCTACTACTACTACTACCACCACCACCACCACCACCACTACCACTACCACTACCACTACCACTACCACTACCACTACTACTACTACTACTACTAGTAAATGGCCGGCCCGCCGGTCGCTATGGCCAGCCGGCCGCTATGGCCAGCCGGCCGGCCGGCCGCTCCAGGTGCCAGCCGGCCGGCCGGCCGATCAAGGTGCCAGCCGGCCGGCCGGCCGTGGAAAAAATCGCTACTACTACTACGACTGCGACTGCGACTGCGACTACGACCTACTACTACTACTACTACTACTACTCTACTACTACTCTACTACTTCTACTACTACTTGGCCGGCCGGCCGGCCGCTATGGCCAGCCGGCCGGCCGGCTGGTCGCGAAATAGCAGGCCGGGTTGCCCGCGCTGTCCTTTCTTCAAAACTTAAGATGCCAGGTACGTATTTTTCTTTAGACCTTTAGATATTCTTTATCTTTCGTGACTCGAAACGCTTTGTTTTTCCAGGTGAATTCCAGTGGCGAGATCATTTTCATTGCTGGAGCCCCGTTGAATCTCCATCAGATTTATCGGGTTGGCTCGACGAGGCGGGTGAAAACGGCGGTTTCGATTTTACCCCAACAGCAGAAGAAAAACATAAAGAGATCTGATGAGATCATGAGACCATGTTCTTTCTTTCTTGAAACACTCTTTGAACTACTCTTTGATTTTCTCTTTGATCAATCTTTCAGCATCTTCTCTCTGATTTTTTCCTTTAGAACACTTTAGATTGATCATGATACTGTAGATCCTTTCTTCTTCTCGCAAAACGAAGACACTCCCTCCTATCTCCTCCTCGCCCTCCTCATCTCAACTCAACTCGCTCACCGCTCTGCTCTTTGTAGAGGGCCTGCAGGTGTTTCCGGTCTGTGCTGGTGGCCGTGGTTGCTGCCACTCCTTTGCGGCCTGTAAGGTGGAGGGCGGCTTTCAATCCGGAAAGTTTGGATTTCCGTCCACTGCTCCTTCTGAGCAAGGACTACTAGGGGCTCCTGGCCCTACTACTAGGAGCAAGGACGCACTAGGGGCTCCTGGCATCGCTACTAGAAACAAGAAGCTCTGCCACTGCTCCTTCTTCTCTCTCTCTCTCTCTCCCCCCCCCCCCCCCCCGTTTTCTTGACTCATTTGATCCGCCCACTCTTCTCCTTCGTCGTGGACGTTCTCCTCCGCTGTCATTCCTCTTCTGCCCACTTTTTGTTGGCACTTGCTGCTGCTAATGGACAGGCTTAACCGGGCTTAACATGTATGAGAAAATTTTGTGTTTGTGTTGCCGAAGACAAGGTGAGACGTCTTCTTTTTGATACCATTCTATGGCCGATCCTCATGCCCAGTGGTGCTGAGGCGCTTTGGGATTCAGCTGATCCCAAGCGTGGCCAGCTTTTGGCAAGAGAACCCACACCTACGACCAAACCCTGAATCTGCAGTTCCAGTGCAACTCATGTTGCAAGGATCACAAGCTTCCTGATTCCTGACGTACGCAAAACGCAGGAAAGGGCTGTTCATTGCTTGACGGAAAATCGAGGAAACCTAGTGATGGCCTCCAACCTACTAGCGATGGCTTCATTGAATCTGAAGCCCAGGCATTCATTGCTGTTGCACTTTTGGGCGGAGAAGGTTTGGGTGAGGATTTGGGCCTTCATGGACCAAGACCGGAATGGCTCCATTGATTCCGAAGAAATGAAGTTACTCGACCGGTTGCCTGGCTCTGAAACTCAGAAGCTACTAGTAACAAGGGCAACGCTACTAGTTACAAGTGCCTTACTAGTAGTAACAAGAAGCTACAAGGAACAAGTGCATCGCTACTAGTAACAAGTGCCACGCTAGTAGTAACAAGTGCCTTACTAGTAGTAACAAGAAGCTACTAGGAACAAGTGCAACTTTGTGCGGCTTTTGATCTGGAGCTTGTCACACAATTTGTTGAATTAATTTGGCTTGAACATGTTGTTCAAGGACGCTACTAGGAGCAAGGGCATCGCTACTAGTAACAAGGGCATTACTACTAGTAGCAAATAGCGATTATTTAACTTAATTCTAATTTAATTTTAATAGCTTCTTGTTACTAGTAGTAAGGCACCTGTTACTACTAGCGTGGCACTTGTTACTAGTAGCGTCTGTATTCATAGGTCAGGAGATGGTGAATTGGACCGCCACGACGCATGGATGCAGGGTGGGGCGAGGTAGCGACTGACCTGGTGAGTCACATCATCAAAGGTCTAGTGCGACAACGAAAAACACCAACACTACTAGTAACAACAAAGCTACTAGGGGCTCCTGGCATCGCTACTAGGAGCAAGGACGCTACTAGGGGCTCCTGGCATCGCTACTAGTAACAAGTGCCACGCTAGTAGTAACAAGTGCCTTACTAGTAGTAACAAGAAGCTATTAGGAACAAGTGCATCGCTACTAGAGTCTCCTGGCATCGCTACTGAAGGAAAGACACGAGAAAGGTCCAAAGGTGGAGCTTCCGTCAATCCATTTGCGTTTTCCGTCGCAGAGTGGCTACATCTCCTGAACCAAAAGGAATTCATAAAACAGTTGAACAAAGACACTCTATAAAAGAACAAATCTCCAAATTCTATAGATTAGGTCAGGACCATCTCCTACAGCAGTTTTCAACGAAGCTGCCCCTGAATTTATGCGTTTGTGAAACATGTTTGCTGGAAAGACCTTCTGTCTTCTTAAGCCTTTCTTGAGCTACTTGACTGTCATGTTTGACAGGTTTCAGCATGTTTCAGCTACTTGGCTCTTACCAAAGGCTATAAACCTGACCCCGCCTCCCCTAGGCTGCACATAGAATTGCAAGACCAAAAGGCTGCGCACTGCATGGAGTGCCACACCCTCCGCCTTAGGACATCATGTGTGCTGTGAAAACTGTGGCTGACATGGAGACCTTTGACGGTGAGTACACCCTGACTGACTTGGTCATGAAGGCATCGTCCCATTACCAGTCGAACTGAATGCACAGAAGAAGCACCCACAGAGTGCCAAATAGAAGACTCCTGGAACCAATCAAGATAGCACAACAAGGTAGCAAACAAGAAGCTAGTAGTAACAAGTGCCACGCTACTAGTAACAGGTGCCTTACT